GGTTTATGGGGGCTGTGAGTTGTTAGAACTCTCCCCCATATCGGTGCTCAATACTACTCTAGCTCATTATATTTTAAAGAAAACATTTCCTCTTGCTCAAATTTGAGATTATTACTCAAAAGGTTTCTCTAAAAAGAGATAATACTGAAACCTGTTCATGAACTCTTTGGAAATCGGTGTTTCCTTTCATCTTAAATGTAAAAACATTTGCTCTTGGAAATACTTAGTTCCAATATATCATTTTAAAGAAAATGAACTTACCTCTACTCTCTCTCAACTCTGTACTCAAGTCATTTAAAACAAGTTTTAAAACAATTTTTAAAAGCTTTTTAAAAATGACTCGAAGAACTCTCAAGACTTGACTCTTAGATCTACCTTGAATTTGAACTTATGGATTCAAAGTTATGATTCATGTTTATGAATGATTTTTAGATTTATAGAAGTAGTTTAGAGTAGTTAGAATCAATAGGGAGTAAAGGTATACTTTAGGAGAACTTAGACAGGTAAAACAATGAAAAAAGGGTGGGGGCAGGCGACCGTGGCACATTGCTGGCGCGGGGCGCCAACCCCTAAAGTTCAGAGACCCATTTCTGGCGGACTTCTGGGGCTCCGCCCCAGACCTCCCCCAGGACTTCCCGACGAATTTTTCTACTCGTTTTCTAATCTTAATTCGACTAGAATCGAATGTTTCTTCCCCAATCACTTAGAATCCAATACTCAACGTATGTACACAATAATCTACTAAAATAAAATCCTCAAAACACTAACACTTATCTCAAGAACTCATCAAAATCCCAAAAATCAAGATTATGAAAGTTATTCCAAGAAAACTCAACAAGAACTCAAATCCTTCAACTTTAAGAATGAATTTGCACTGAAAATAACATGATTGTCGTGTGGGTGAACGAACCCAATACTATGAGAACTCACATACCTCTTAGGAATCAAACCCTTGGTGAAAATCTGCAATAAAACCTTAAGATGTTGACGAACTGTTAAATCATCTCCTCTTTTCTTTTCCTTTCTTTTCTTTAACTCTTTTATAAAACCCTAAGCGTATTTTGATTTGGGAAAACTGAACCAAATCAGTTTAGTCCCCTAATTACTTACTAAAAATACTTAAATATGAAAGGGTAAGGAAAATACGAAAATACCCTTCACATTATCGGGTAACTTTCCTTAATCGAGCAGCCCAACTTCAAACAGTCATATCTCTCGCATAGAAGCTCAAAAATTAGAAAACTTAGTGGCTTTGGAAAGAGGATTCCAAGACCTTTCATTTGATATCTTATGGGCCACCTAACTCATCATGTACTGAAAGTTATGGTCGTTTGAAGTTGACCCAAACTCATAAATTAATCATAACTTGAAAATTTTCAGATTTAGCTTATTTCCAATTTAGTTCTTTCTATTTTTAGCTCTTTCAAATATCGAGGTGTTACAATATCTCCCCCTTGGGAATATTCATCCTCGAATGAGATTACTCTAAGTAGACTAAGGGTGGTAACATCTGACACCCAACTCAAACACTCAATATGCAAAGTAACACAACATTTCAACTAAAATAAATGCCAAGAAAAGGATTAGTACCTTAATTTAGAATTTCTCCAGACTCAAGGAGTTGTGGGTATCTCTTCTTCATATCCTCCTCAGCCTCCCAAGTAGCTTCCTCAACAAACAGATTTCTCCATAAGACCTTGACTGATGCTACCTCCTTGGTTCTCAACTTGCGAACCTGACGATCTAGAATTTGAATGGGAATCTCCCCATACGGTAAGCTATACTTAATACCAATGTCTTCAGTTGGTATAATAAGTGAAGGATCGCCCATACACTTCTTCAACATAGAAATGTGAAATACGGATGGACTGCTGCTAACTCTGATGGGTAGCTCAAACTCATAAGCTACATTGCCAATCCTCTTGGATATCCTGTAAGGATCAATATACCGGGGACTAAGCTTCCCCTTCTTACCAAATCTCATAACACCCTTCATGGGTGAAACCTTCAAATAAATCCAATCATCTACTTCAAACTCTAAGTCTCTTCTCCTAACATTAGTATAGGATTTCTGACGACTATGCGCTGTTTTCAACCTTTCTTGAATAGTCTTTACCTTTTCCATAGCTTGATGAACCAAGTCTGGTCCTATCAACCCAGCCTCACCTACCTTAAACCATCCAATAGAATATCTACATCTTCTCCCATAAAAAGCCTCATAGGGAGCCATTTGGATGCATTAGAATGGTAACTATTGTTGTAAGCAAACTCTATTAAAGGTAAGTGATCATCCCAACTACCCTTGAAATCGATCACACAAGCCCTCAACATATCTTCTAAAGTTTGAATCGTATGCTTTGCTTGACCATCATTCTGAGGATGAAAAGCAGTACTCAAATTTACCTTGGAGCCCAAACCTTTTTGGAAAGACTTTCGAAATTGTGCGATGAATTACGCACCTCTATTTGAAATAATGGACACCGGAACTCCATGAAGTCTGACTATCTCCTAAATGTATAACTTGGCATAATCCTCTACTAAAAAAAAGTCTTTACCAGTAACAAATAGGTTGATTTAGTCATTCGATCTACAATTACCCATATCGAATCATGTTGTCTGCAAGACCGTGGTAAACTAGTAATAAAATCCATGTTGATTTTCTCCCACTTCCATTCCAGAAGTTCTATGTTCTGAGCCATACCACCAGGCCTCTGGTGCTTTACTTTGACTTGTTGGCAATTTGAGCACTTATCAACGAACTCTGCAATACCCCTCTTCATACTACTCAACCAATAGGCTTCTCTCAAGTCACGATAAATCTTAATGGAACCTAGATGGATAGAATAGCTGGAGCTATGCGCTTCCTCCATGATCCTCTCTTGGAGTTCATCCACCCTTGGCACATATAATCTACCTTGATACTTCAATACACCATCTCACTCTTGTTCAAAACCCATTACTTTTTGTTTATGAACATTTGCCTTCAATTCAAGAAAAATAATATCTTGGTCTTGTTTCTTTATCACTTCAGACACTAATGATGATTCAACCCCATTCATCACTACTACTCCTCCTTCATTGGAATCCATTATCCGGACTCCCAATCGTACAAGTCTGTGCACGTGTTTTACTAACTCTTTCTTTCCTTCCTCAACATGGGTGGTACTACCCATAGACAATCTGCTCAAAGCATCAGCAACAATATATAGCCTTACCTGGGTGATAGAGAATACTCATGTCATAATCCTTGAGTAACTCCAACTACCTCATATGTCTGAGATTAAGCTCTTTCTGATTGAATACATACTGAAGACTCTTTGATCGGTGAACACATCTACATGAACACCATACAAATAGTGACGCCATATTTTCAAAGCAAACACTATAACAGCCAACTCTAGATCATGGGTTGGGTAATTTCTCTCGTGAATCTTAAGTTGTTTGGAGGCATAAGCTATAACCTTGCCATTCTGCATCAATACACAACCCAGTCCAAATCTGGACGCATCACAATATACCACAACACCTTGCATATCTTCTAGTAAGGTCAATATTGGGGTAGTAGTCAACCTAGTTTTCAATTCCTGAAAGCTTTTCTCACAAGCTTCAGACCATTGAAACTTCATTGTTTTCTGAGTCAACTTAGTCAACGGGAATGAAATAGATGAGAACCCCTCGATGAACCTTTTATAATAACCAGCCAATCCCAAGAAAATCCTAATATCAGTTGGAGACGTGGGTCTAGGCCATCTCAATACTGCCTCAATCTTCTGAGTGTCAACTATAATCCCTTCACCAGAAATAATGTGGCCTAAGAATGCCACAGACTTGAGCATAAATTCACACTTGGAAAACTTAGCATACAACTCCCTATCCTTGAGAGTTTGAAGAACTACTCTGAGATGACTAACATGATCTTTCTCATTCCTCGAATAGATTAAAATGTCATCAATGAATATGATAACAAACATATCTAGATAAGGTTTGAATACTATGTTCATAAGATCCATGAATGTTGCAGGAGCATTAGTTAAACCAAATGACATAACCAGAAACTCATAATGACTATAGCGGGTTCTGAATGCTGTCTTTGGAATATCACACTTCCTTACTCTCAACTGATGATAGCAAAATAAGTGGCACCCTGAAGTTGATAAAAAAATCATCAATTCTCGAAAGAGGATACTTATTTTTGATAGTAACCTTGTTCAACTGACAGTAATTTATACACATCCTAAGAGAACCATCTTTCTTCCTCACAAATAAGATCGGAGTGCCCCAAGGTGAGACACTTAGTCGAATAAAGCCTTTCTCAAGAAGATCTTTCAACTTCTCTTTTAACTCTTTCAACTCAACTTGATCCATTCTTTGTGGCAGAATAGAGATATGATGAGTATCGAGAAGAATATCTATACTGAAGTCTATTTCAGTCTCAGGAGGGACTGTGGGAAGATCATCTAGAAAGACTTTTGGAAATTTACTCACAACTGGAACTGACTGAATAAGTGGTGTCTCAACACTAGAGTCATTAACTCAGACTAAGTGATAGATGCACCCCTTGAAAACTAACTTTTTTGCCTTAAGGTACGAAATAAAATGACCCTTAGGCACTGCTGAACTACTCATCCACTCAATAACTGTCTCATTAGGAAACTGGAACTTAACTACTCGAGTTCTACAATCAACTGAGGCATAAGAGGCATGAATCCAGTCCATACTTAAAATAACATCAAAATATACCATGTCTAACTCGACTAAGTCAACCATGGTATCCTTGTGATTGACGGAAATGGTACAATTAGGATAAACTATCTCAACTAGTATAGACTCACCAATAAGTGTAGTAACACTGAACACTCAAGAAGTTGCTCAGGAATAATATCAAAATTCATGGCAATATAAGGAGTCACAAAATAAAGACTCACTCCTGGATCTAGCAAAGCATAAACATCAAAAGTAAAGACTTTGATCATTCTAGTGATAACATCTGGTGAATTATCTTACTCTTGGTGACTGGTGATTGCATATAGACGGTTTGCCCCTTCGTCTATCTGTGAAGTAGCTCCTCTAGGTGCAACTCTGTTTGGTGGAGCCGCTGAAGAAGATTGGGCTCTATTGCCCCTATTACCATCGCCCTGCATGTTCTCAATACATTCTTTCATGAAGTGACCATTCTGACCACACTTGACGCAACCAGTAGAGCCATCGTGACACACTCTTAAGTGAGTCCTACCATACTTAGCACATGCAGGAGTCCCATTACCTCCTAGTGCCACACTACCTTGAGACTGTACAAGTATAGCTCTGAAATTCTGTGAATTCTGATTCTTGAACTCACCTCAGTTCCTTGGTGCAGGTGAACTAGTAGATGATGGAGCAGGTCCATTTTGGCTTGTGTTGAAAAGAAGACCGGCTTGCATTACTCTTCTGTTGCCCGGACTCATTTCCTATTGTCTTAGCCTTCTTATTTCGAAACTCTTCTCTATCCCTCAACTTATCTTTCTCAACCTGTTGCACATGGATCATTAGTCTTGCTATGTCCATATCTCAATAAGCATAACTGCCTTGCCCTCCTTACTTGATAGACGAGACAACCTAGAAACAAATAGACTCATCTTGCTCCTCATGTCAGCAACCATCTCGGGGGCATAATGGTAAAGTTGCGTGAAATTAAGACTGTACTCATGCACACTCATGGATTCGTGCTTAAGAGTGAGGAATTCCCTTACCTTGGCCTCTCTCAGTTCACGAGGAAAGAAACACCCCAAGAAGGCACCCTCAAACACAACCCAACTCATAATTGGTGCATCTTCAACTTTATTCTTCTTCCATTGGTCAAACCAGATTCTAGCGACACCCTTCAATTGGTATGCATCTAGTTCCACTCGCTCAACATCAGCAATATGTATAATCTCAAAAACCTTTTGTAGTTCCTCTACAAAGTTCTCCGGATCCTCAGTGACACTTGAACCGGTGAAGTTTGGAGAATTCATCCTTAAAAACTCATGGATTCTGGATGTATCAGCCACATCCTTTTGAAACTCTCTCTGCTAACCACCTTGATTGGCCACCACTTGACTTAACATCCGGATAACATCCTGGAACTCATCAGTAATGACATCTCCTTGGGGTTGCACTTCTGGTGCATTGGATACCTTTTGATCCTCAATGTTCCTCTAAGCAGGATGACCTCAAACAACTTTTCGTAGAGGCATGATTTGAAAGATACGCGCAAGCATGAGTTAGAAGGAAAATTTAATAGAGATGAACTATATCGCACGAAAAGAGTATGAAAGATGTGAGATAATTCTTAAATGTCGCAGCCTCCCAATTATAGATATGGTGCGCTTCACACCGATAACTAGGAATCTACAGACACGGCTTCATAGACACCCTAGGACTCTTGAACTTTGTGCTCTGATATCAAATTTGTCACGTCCCGAGCCTACACCCTGGGCGGGACTGACACTCTAGAACCATTGTTGGCCTCAAGCGTACCCTTGGTCTGGCTTAACTCTTAGCGGAAGATTTACTCATACTAAAAGTATTTTAAAAAGATAAACTATAACTCAAATGTCTCAAAAGATAAACTCATAAATGTTTAATGAAACATTTCAACTAGCCAAAAGAGACAACTCAAGTCTAAATATGAACAACTGAAAATGAAAAAAACTAATGAACTAGTGTCTATCTATCTATGAAGCTTGTAATACTATGAGGGATGTCGGGACAAGATCCCCGATCATCCTAACAACTGAAATAACTGAAACATAAAGAAAGGGATCCTCCGGAAGCAATGAGGCTCACCAAACAACTCTGGAGCTCAACTGGATCAACAAAGCACTGGATGTTGATCCTGGTTACCTGTATCTGCAGAAAAAAAGATGCAAGCCAAATGGAGTCAGTACATGGAATGTACAAGCATGTGAGGGAAAATCTAAACAAGACATAAGCTTGAACTGGAACTGAAGAAACACTTCCCTCTTCTCAACTCAACATTATTTCATTATAAAGCAATAGAAATAATGCAGTATAAAGAAAAGCTTTAAAACAGTAGATAGCAACTAAGTGTATTAGAAAATACAATATAAACTCTGTTCGTATACAAAAATACAAAATAGAAATTGTTGGGAGATTCTGTAACCGACAACCATCACTATGAGCTATGTGATGATACAACGTCTAGCCCACACTGTCAAAACTGTTCTATACTTTGCCGGGGTATAGGACCTAACTAACTAAGTGGATCTACTAGTCTATGCTAGAAAGCAATAAAGGAATCATCTGAAAAGTATGACCCTTTTCTACCTACGTTGGCTACATGGTTTGTGGGGTTTGTGAGTTGTTAGAACTTTCCCCCGTATCGGTGCTCAATACTACTCCCAAAATATAACTTAGATCATTATGTTTTAAAGAAAACATTTCCTCTTCCTCAACTTTGAGATTATTACTCAAAAGGTTTCTCTAAAAAGAGATAATACTGAAAACTGTTCATGAACTCTTTGGAAATCGGTGTTTCCTCTCATCTTAAATGTAAAAACATTTGCTCTTGGAAATACTTAGTTCCAATATATCATTTTAAAGAAAATGAACTTAGCTCTACCCTCTCTCAACTATGTGCTCAAGTCATTTAAAACAAGTTTTAAAACAATTTGTAAAAGCCTTTTTAAAATGACTCGAAGAATTCTCAAGACTTGACTCTTAGCTCTACCTTAAATTTGAATTTATGAATTCAAGGCTATGATTCATGTTTATGAATGATTTCTAGATGTTTAGAAGTAGTTTAGAGTATTTAGAATCAATAGGGAGTAAATATACTTTAGGGAAACTTAGATGGGTAAAACGATGGAAAAAGGGAGGGGCAGGCGACCCTCGCGCACTGATGACACGGGGAGCCAACCCCTAAAGTTCATAGGCCCATTTTTTGGCATACTACTGTTCGCCGCCCCAGACTCTTTGGCGGATTTGGGGCGCGCCGCCCCAGCCCTCTCCCAGGACTTCCCGACAAATTTTTCTACTCGTTTTCTGGCCTTAATTCGACTAGAATCGAATGGTTTCTTCCCTAATCACTTAGAATCGAATACTCAACGTATGTACTCAATAATCTACTTGAATCAACCCTCAAAACACTAACACTTATCTCAATTACTCATCGAAATCTCAAAAATAAGATTATGATATTCCAAGAAAACTCAACAAGAACTCAAATCCTTCAACTTTAAGAATAAATTTACGCTGAAAATAATATGATTGGCGTGTGGATGAACGAACCCAACACTATGAGAACTCACATACCTCTTAGAGATCAAACCCTTGGCGAAAATCCACAAGAAAACCTCAAGATCTTGACGAACGCTTGAATTTTCTCCTCCTTTCTTCTTCTTTCTTTTCTTAAACTCTTTTATAAAACCCTAAGCGTATTTTGTTTGGGAAAACTAAACCAAATAAGTTTAGACCCTTAATTATTTACTAAAAATGCTTAAATCTGAAAGGGTAAGGAAAAGACCAAAATACCCTTCACATTTTTTGGTAACTTTTCTTAATTGAATAGCCCGACTTTAAACAGTCATATCTCCCTCACACAAGCTCAAAAATTAGCAAACTCAGTGACGTTGGAAAGAGGATTCCAAGACCTTTCATTCGATATCTTATGGGCCATCTAACTCATCCTGTACTAAAAGTTATGGTCGTTTAAAGTTTACCCAAATTCATAACTTAAGCATAACTTGAAAATTTTCAGATTTAGCTTATTTTCAATCTAGTTCTTTCTATTTTTAGCTCTTTCAAATACCGAGGTGTTACAAAATGGTACTCATATCTGGGTAGTGATCAATTACACCGCTATCACTATTCAAGGGTAGAAGAGAGGAACCTTCTCTACCTCTTTGCACAAAAAAAGACTGAGATGACGAAGTGGATTATGCTTTTTGCACACCTCCGAATATATAGTGTCAAATTGCCGCCCCATTCCTTATTTATTTGATAATAGAGTTGTTTATCTTTGGATTGATCTTTATTAGCTGTTTGATTTGAAACTGCTACTATACTAAACTGGCTGAAAAAGCATAGTTTTGACCTAAATTCCTTACATGACAGGCTCCTCTCGGATAATATTTATGGTTCTACCTTTTTCTTAGCAACTGGCTTTCATGGTTTTCATGTGATTATAGGTACTATTTTCTAGATCATATGAAACCCTCTTCCACTTAGGTGCGACACATGTAGTAGTGTCTACCCGAAGATGAAGGGGAAGAAAGGGATGCTAGGGATAGAGTAACCGAAGCGGGCATGAAATGAACTCGGAAGGGAAGGAAACCAATGGGGACAACCCCAAAAAAGATGAGTTTTCCACACGACGATCTTTATTTAAAATTGAGCCGCTAAAATTTATCCCTTTTGAATGTATTTAGTCCAGTGGTTAGCACATCATATTTTCATAACAAAGACATGGGTTCGATTCTTTTAAGGGATAGGTCCTCATTCCCATAATCATTTTGATCACCTTCAAAAATGTCTTCCCCATAGAGGAGATAGACTGGTCTAGACTTTACCATTGTGGAGCGACTTTTTGAGAAAAAAAATGAGGGGGAACTTAGTAAGATGCCGGAGGAAAGTAGGTTTCCAAGCACGCAGATTCAAGAGTTAAGTTAGAGGCTGACTAGTTAAACATGAAATTCAAATGAAATAAGGTTCTTTAGTCCATCAATGATGATTCATTAATGTCACTTCTCAAGCTCTTGGAGGACACCAAAATGCTCATAAGCGTGAAAAATTTGTTCCTCGTTGTAATGTGTTCTCTATAACCTATATTCGCCAACCTTCCTCGATACCTTAGAGACCACTCTTGCCACAAAATATGTCATCGTTTTTGGTTGTTTTATGATATTCCTTGGAGGATGGAGCAAAAAAATACTCTATGTGCAGACGTGAAAGATCTATCAATAGAAAGATTCTAGATTTTGTTTAGAGAAGAATGATTCATGCTCACCACTCCTTGAGGCAAAGAACGGGGTCGAACCTTCAAGCAACTGAGATAAAGAAAGCAGTTGGACTTAAGTGTAAAACCTTTCCGCGGGAGAGTCTTTATCCAATGAGAATAAAGAAAGTATTTGGGCTTCCTTTGTTTGAATAATGCCGCTTATTTTAGCTTACATTCAAACCAAAGTAAACCAAGCCTAAGCGGTCAGACATCTTGTTGGTAGGCGTGCGAGTAAGATGGTAGTAGGCAAAATTATATTGATTGAATGGGAAGTTAGATAAAGAAGTGTTAGTAATAACTAGCACTAGACTTCTTCCCCCTTTATTTTCGATTTTTTCTCTCTTTTTTTGTTTGTGTTTCCACCCAGCCGTCGTTTCAAAGCCGCTCCTCTCTTTATAGTCAAGTGGTTTTCACTCCCAACTCTCAAGAAGTGGGAATAAGAGTCAATCGATGACATAAAAGATTGCCTAATGCATCGAGCCACTTTCCCTCATTCCACTCGTCTAGCCCTCTTAGGCCGGTGTTCATAATTGACAGTGGCATCTCTGTTTGCGCACATTGGAGAAAGTGCAAATAATCTCAGACCCGATGGATACCACATAAAAATGGATTTTCCAGTAGTGATGACATAAATTTGAATAGATTCTCTTTATTATTATACATATAGATTTTTTTAATCTTCTACCTTATCTCCACAACTCTGGGTGAAAAGCTCGGACAAGTTATCTCGTGATCCGATCGAGTCGAAGGATCAATAAGCAAAACCTAAAACCTACCAAGGTTGAAAATAAGAATGTGGTCAACTGATTCAAATTCTTTACCTTGTTGACTGACATTACAATAGGTGTATGGGTCAGGGAGTGACTACTTGGTCTTTACACATTCACTTACTATTGATAGAGAGTTTTTCGTCGTTCGTATGTATCACCTACTATACTTCATTGAAAGAGTTCTATTATATTTTAGACTTTAATACAATACAAGAAATGCACGAGAGTGAAGTGATTCGAGGGC